AAATCAAAGAAAAGAGGTTCTGAACAGAGGGAGTTGTAAGGCTGTCTCTTATACACATCTAGATGTGTATAAGAGAACATGCACGTACAGAGAAAGTAGTAATATGCAGAGACCGTCATGCGCGCTCCGCTCTCGCTCATTCCTGTGTACGGTGAGACCTCGCGGAACTGAAAGCAATCCTTGATTGCTGGTGGGGGGCCAGTACTCCTGTGCCGCTGATTGGGGAAAGACAGCACAGACGGCTGTTGGTGGGATCGTTCGTGGATCAATGGCTTTGAGAGACTACTGATCACCGAAGATAACTGTTGATGGGATCGTTCGTCGATCAATGGCTGAGCGCGCCGCTGGCGAACCGTTGATTATTGTTGAGAATCACTGAGCGCTGACTTAAGAGGAGAGTAAGTGGGTATTTTAAGAACCCTTGATTTCCGATTACGATCGCTAATTACCACCGTTACCGCCGACTACCATCGGAGGAGCGGATACCGTTGATCGGTGACTTCATGCGCCGAAGTCAACCGTTGATTAGTGAAAAAAAAGACATCGCTGATCGCTGCCTGAGAGCAGGCAACGCTTGTGGCCCTTGGGGAGTAAAGCAGGTATCTTTGAGTAATGGGGCTGCCATCGAGCGAGGCTCAGGCTCTGTCTGTCAGGGCGTGCATCTCTGGCTTGGCGCACGGCGGGTGACCGTTGATCGTTGTAGGAGCGGATACCATCTGTCGGTTACTACTAGAGCGCGCGCGCCCCAGGTGACCGTCGAATCCTTGGCCGATAGGTAACCGATTCAGGGATGTGGAAAGCGACTAAGAAGGTGAGGACCTCGTCGACGGCGATGGAAACGCGCCCTGTGGGCCAGATGGAAGATCGGTGTACTTTAAGCAGTGCAAAGAAAAGAACATGTCGCAGCGGCGGAGAATGGGAGAGAGTAGGGGAAGGGAGAAGAAGAAGAGAATGTAGAGGCGGCGGCGGCGGAGGAGGAGGAGGAGATGGAGGTGGTTTTCGGAAGCAATCCCCTTGCCACGTGGCAGGATTTCGTTGGCGTTGGGAAAATCGATTCTTGGTCAGCAATGGTGGTGGATGGAGCAAGAGCAGTGACCTTTTTGCGGGTGCATTTCTAGCTATTATCTTCTGTTTACTTCCGACCATGGGAGAAGGAGCTTGGAAACAGCTGAAGCCACCGCCTCCCACTCCAGGAGTAAGGTTCGGGCATGCATCTGTTCTTCTACCCAATCGTCAGTTATTCGTGTTTGGAGGAAAGCATCCGGTCACGAACAACTTGCTAGGTGACACGTGGCTCTTCAGCTTTTGGTACAACAAATGGGTACTCATCGAGCACCCTTATGGATCGGTGAGTTTAAGCTTTCTTTTTTTTTTCTTTTTTTTTTTGAGCTTTCTAATGGAACTCCTGATTACCAATCAAACTGATGGGTGAGGCTCCAATTTGTACGTGGCGATGTGCACTAGCCGAGGAGCGTGAACCTTGGTCTGCTCTTAGACCATATTCAGTCTAAGTTCGCACACTCGCCATGGCAATCGGGCCTCATGTGTTGCGTGTATGTGTGTCTTGCGTTCCGCATTGGAGCAGCACTGCGCATTGTGCTGTGTGCTTTCCTTTCCCCCTTTCTCCCCCTCCCCTTTCCCCTTTCTCCCCACCCGCCCCCTTCTCCCCCCCCACTTCCCGGCCCCTCTTTCCCCCCTTCCCCCGTCTCCTCCTCCCTCCGAGTCGAAGTGTAACATTAATTTCGTATCTTCAATTATCAGTGATCAATAGGGGCATATTCGTTGTCGTCATGAAGAAAAGGGATGCTCTTCCTCTTTGGTTGAACTTGGTAACTGAGCACAAAACGCTCACAAGGGATATTTTGGCGCCAAGACGCAGTCTTTCCATTTCCCGCGAAAAACTAGTAGTGACATGGGTCAGGGTTTTGCGTTCCCCTTTGTAAAACCACCAATGTTTTTTGAACATGTCCCCTTGCTTGCTCAGACAGAGTCTTTGCATTAAATTTTTAGCGCCAAGATGCAGGCTTGCCATTTAAGTCGGAGTTCTTGGAAGTTTGTATGCGGTTGTGATGCTCGCGCAGCGGTGTCTGCCTGTTAATGGTGTCGAGTTTCTTTCTTGAGCAAACGTGTGTTTGGCGTTGATGTGGACCGTCAGGGGCTTGTCAGGTTCGCCAGGGCCGACGACTCTTGCGTGTCAGTCTACGTATGACGTCTTAGTGTGTGAATGTGTGTGAATGTGTGTGAATGTGTGCGAAGGTGGAGCCATAGGTGACTCTCTCTCTCTCTCTCTCTCTCTCTCTCTCTCTCTCTCTCTCTCTCTCTCTCTCTCTNCACGAGATATTAGCATCGACATTTCGGGATGCAAAGAAGGGAATTCGGTTATCTTCATACGTGAGCTGCCAATGTGCTACGACATGCCTAAAAACAAACAGGCCATAAACTCTTCGCCTCAAATCRATTCCCTGACAGAACTCTTCAAACTCTCTCTCTCTCTCTCTCTCTCTCTCTCTCTCTCTCTCTCTCTCTCTCTCTCTCTCTCTCTCTCTCTCTCTCTCTCTGTGTCTCTCTCTCTGTGTCTCTCTCGCTCCCCAGTTTTCTATGCTGTTGGTTTTGCTATATAATCTTTTTTGATGACGTGCTCTCATTGAACTGTTGGAAATTCAGAGCCCTGCACCCCGAGTCTACGCAGCAGCAGTGAGCGTCGGAGAGAACGTCCTGTTGTACGGAGGGGACTGCTATTCTCCGAGGAAAGGAAATGAACTGCTTTGGAGCAGGCCCTGCAGAGACACAACTTGGTTGTACAAGCTGGCGGAACGACAGTGGATTAATTTGCCCATGAGAGGCATCCTGGTCAAGCCGCGCAGCCACGTGGCGGCAGTTTCAAACGGGTAAGGGATCGTCACTATCGGTCGGGAGGTAACCACGAATCTCATTACAGGAAATCGTTAAGCATCAGCCAAAGGCAAAGACCCATCCAATCTTCCTCCCACCCTACAAGTTAGTAATCCGACGGCACATCATCTTTACCATTCCTAGAAGAGCAAAAAGTCGTACGCACAAGAAGAATGTCCAATCTTTTTCTCTATAATTAATAATTACTCACTCTTTTAATGTCCAGTCTTTTTCTCTATTAATAATTACACACTCTTTTGTTTGTCTAAATAACGCTCTTCCGCCTCCCCCTACTCATCCTCGTCCTCATCGTCCTCCTCTTCCTCCCTTGTCCTCCTCCTCCCTTCCTCTTCCTCCTCCCCTTCCTCTCGTTCCTCATTTTGTTTACTTCTTCCTAATTGCACAGCGTCATGATCATCATCAGCACACCCCCATCTTCTTGTTCTTCTTCTTGTTCTTCTTCTTCCGCTGCAGCTCGTCCTCCACCCCATCTTTGTTTCAAAGAAGAAATGAGTTGTGGAAAAAAAAAAAAAAAAAAAAAAAAAAAAAAGAGTTGTCGATGTCATGTTTTTGAGAAATTGAAGGTCGAGTTTCACTAGTAGCGAGATCAACCGTGGTTATGTGATGTTGATGACAACCACGTACGATCAGCGCGCAACAGAGCCGTGCCAGATGCCGTGATCTGTCCGGGTAACCAAATGGCTGAGTTCCAAAAAATTTGGTGTGTCTGAATCCGACCTCCACAACAACCTCGGTGTTCAAGAAAAAAAAAGGGAAAAAAAAGAAAAAAAAATCAGATGCCGTACGATTAGCGGCAGCGTTTGGGGTTTAGGGTTCAGGGGTTCAGGCCTCAAGGATTATGACTTAGGGGATTGTCGATTGAGGAACCAGGGATTGGAGTTTTCTTTGTTTTTTGTAACTTTTTTTCTCAAAAAGTTTGCCCATTCCCTTAGCTGTGGCGTTACCGCTGGATCGTGGATAGGGACAATGACAATGGGAGTCTTGTTATCACGACGCCAGTTAAACTTGGAAGGATACAGAGAGAGAGAGAGGATTAGCATGGGCCCTGCACATTCAAGGATTCTTTTTTTCCAAGCATGGGCGCTGCAGATTCAAGGAGAATACACACAAATCAAGAAATGGTCCAAAGTTTTAGAGGTTTAGCTGCTAGGGTTTAGGGTTTAGGGTTTTAGGGTTACGGTGTACGGTTTTGGAGTTTAAACCAAGCTTTGCTGCACCGCCAGCTTTGCACCGGGGCCTGGCGGGGCTGCAGTGTGCGCCAAGCTTTGCTGAACCGCCAGGGGTGCAGTCTTTCTCTTTTTTGGCTCTCACCGCCAGCCATTGTGGTCTGAGAGGAGTAGGTGATGAAGAAATCTTGGAAGGCTGGGGCTGTGTACTGGCGGTTTAAGCTGTAGGGTTTAGGGTTTAACATTTTAGGGAATAGGTTGTCTATTTTCTGATCTGTACAGTGGAACAAATGCAGTGTGGACAGACCAGGCACACATATCGAGAGGTTTAGGGCCTTGGGGTTTAGGGTTTAGGGGAAGAGGTCAGCTATGCCCTGATGTCACGTGATGTGTACACACTGGTGCACCTGCCACATGGTTCTGGGCAGGCAGCTGTGTCTGAAGGCTTAGTGTTTAGGGCTTAGGCTCTCAAGGTCTTGGGGGAAAGAGCCGTTATTTATTCCCTGGTGGGTACGGGAGTGGTTTTGCCACTTGGTTGAATGGGGCTCAGTACAGTGCAACTAGAGCTGGAGGAAGCTATTCAGGAGTCTCGGGCAGGCTGATTTTCTTTCCCAAACTGGACCCATCCAGAGGTAACCTGCTTCCTGTCTTGTTGCGGCTTTACCTTCAATGCATCCTTATCATGAATTAGTCAAAGGCTCAAAGCTATCTGTTCTGCGGAAACGTAGTATGAACTTTTACCTTCTGCCTGCCTTGTTGAGGCTGAAACTTCCCATTAGCTATCTTTTTTAATTGGTTGGGTTTCCTGAGTGTTTTGATGGCAATTTTCCTTTAATTTTTTTTTGTTGTTTCTCCTGTGCAATCGTAGATCAGACAAATTGTTCCCAAACTCTTCTTTCTTGTAGGAATAGTAACAATGATCCGTGGGAAACTGAAAAAAAAGAAAGGAAATGCCCCTCCATAGTCCAGACGGCCAGGTGCATGATCTGCACTGTGACACGATGCAGATGTCAAGGTACATCCTGACAACGGGGAGGAGAGGACGTTGCTGCAAGTTTTCGCAGGGTTGGCAGGGGTAGTTTTGAATATCACCCTTCTTTTTTCTTATTCCATTGTTTGTCCCTTTGAGAAAAGGCCATCCCAATGTTGTTATTGTCGCGTGATTTTTCATTCTTCTCGCCCCCCCCCTCCCCCCTCCTTTTGTCCAATTCTGAAGTCAAAGCTTGTGTTTTTCTCTATTCCCATCTATGCACTGTGTGATGGCCATGGTTTTCAGTATGACGTTTTACATTCATGGAGGTCGCCGCGATGGCGGATGGATAGACGAAGAGAGTCGCAAGACGTTTCTGCCAACAATGGCTAAAGGTGACGTCATCTGGTCTGTCGACTTGGCGGAGAACACGTCTTTTGTGGCCTTCAAGAGTGATCCACATACAGGACCTCCAGAGGACAAATTATTGCGTTTTGGGCATGCTGCAGCTTTGGTGGAATCTAAGATATGGATGTCTGGAGGTAAGATTGAGCACTTTTAAAGTTGCATGTGTATGTGTATTAGGGGTGTAGGAGCTACTCCCACAAGGACTTTTTCAACTGAATCTGGTTGCAATCGCCATTGCATACACCCCTGAATGTCCCACTGGCGTGAGTATGCCCTTATATGATGGGGAGAAAAAAAAAAGATTGCATAACATTGGTTAGGTGGCAAAGCTGTCATTGCAGCTGTGTAGTATTCTGTTCCAACGGCTGGGATGCTCGCCTTATGCTCTGCGTGTATATTGTCGTAGAGCATCGTCCAGGGAACTCTAGGCAGAGAAGAGGACAACAAACGAGGGGCTGTGGCAGACTGTTCTGACGGAGGTTCACCGACTCATGAGGAGGCCAAACCCGCTGCAGTCCATGGGGTCCCCTAACCGATGATACTGTAAGTGATAATCCACCTTACGCCGGTTGCAGTTAAGCATCAACGACTGCTTGACAACTGATACCCTGAGGTGGGCACCAACCGCTGCCCTCAAGGTACCTGTGATGGAAATCAAAGCAGACTATCACTCACCCACACACGATGGACCACTCTCTGTATTATCCTATATCTATATCTATATCTATACATATATCATGATGTTTATGTGTATGTCTAAACATATACATATCTATATATATCGTCAAACAGAGCTGCCCGGTAAACCGTAGGAAGAGAGGGAGAAGAGGACAACAAACGAGGGGCTGTGACAAACTGTTTTGCCGGAGTTTCGCCGACTCATCAGGAGGCTGCGCCCTCAACAGTCTGCAGAATCCCCTAACTGATTACACGGTAAGTGATAATCCACCTTAACCCCGTTTGTGGTTAAGCATCAACGACTGCCCGACAACTGATACCCTGAGGTGGGCACCAACCACTGCCCTCAAGGTACCTGTGACGAAAATCAAAGAAGACTATCACTCACCCACACCAGATGGAAACTCAACAGACTGTCGGTTCACACCCCATTATATATATGTAATGTACATATGTGGGGCTCAGCCTCCTGATGAGTAGGTGACACTCCGACAAAACAGCCGCTTGTTTGTTGTCCTCTTCTCCCTCTCTGCCTATGGTTTACTGGGCTGTTCTTCATGATGATATATAAATATGAACAAATGACTATCCCTACTGGCAGCTGCAACCCCATGGTAGCAAGTTGGGGTTGGTAACTGCTACATGGAGCTGATACTGTTTGAAGGAAAGCCACCTAGGGACTCTCGGTTGGAGCAGGTGATAGGGAGGGGTATACAGTACAGACCCATGCATCATTTCTTTTGACTAGTCTACATACCAACTGTAAAGGCTTGTTCTCTTAGGGACTCACTTCCAAGGCATGGAGGGTGCAGCATGGTGCTCTTTTGTAGGAATGTGGAAACAATGGTCAGCATCTGGACTTGTGGAAGGGTATTTAGACCTTCGGGATGTCGGGGTTCGGATGCTATCAGTATATGATCAAAATATGTTAATTTTGAAAACTCCCAGAGTCCCAGCTTTAAAAAATCTGGAAGTTTTCCTTTTTTTAAAGTTTTTTTCCTCTTTTCTCGGGGGGGGGTGGGGGGGTGGGGGTGATGAGGTGCCCCCTGCAGTTGACTGCAATTACGGTGATGACGACAATGATCACTCATCCAACTCACCCAATTAGGACCAGCGCTCATCCACGCGTCCCCCTGGATGTGGGGGAATGATCTCTAAAGAAAAACAAGCCTCTAGCTAGGCCAAGATAACAGGACCGATCAACGGCCTCAATGTCTTAACTTGTTTGGTACTGCCAGCGCCATTTTCATGTGTTTCGATTATTTCATTCACGGAACTTTGAATGCTTTTGAATCTATGGTGTTAATTCTACTCTCTACTTGTTTGTGGGCTCAGGAAGGGAAGCTGACAAACAGGAAAGGGAGTGCAGTAATGTGAGCAAGAGTGGAATGGGGGGAAGGCAGGAGAAATGTCTGAACAACGTCAACAGAAAAGGAGAAGAAGAGAGAGGGAGAGAGACAAGAAAAGTCGAAGAAGACAAGGGAGAGAAAAGAGGAGAAGGAGATGAGGCAAAGGAAATAACAGGAGTCGAAAAAGTCAAGAAAAAGAGTGTGGCATACTGATACCACACGGGCCCCAGTTAGGGCCCGGTTCTGTAGCAGGCACGGGTTAGGCCTAGGTACCAGGTCCCGACGGTCCCCAGCTAGGTCCAGGTAGGCCTAGGGAACCGCCGATTCAGATTAGAGTCCGGTAGGCCTAGTTTAGACCCACCAGACCCAACGGCTAGTTGAGTTTAGGCCAGGTACCGGTCCCTCAGTAGGACCGACCGGCGGCGCAGTTTTAGGCGCCACTTTTCAGATTCAATCGGATCTGAACCGTTGGGCCCGATCAACGGTCCAGACCTGAAGGCACTCAGTAGGACTGAGGCCAACCCAGCACTATATCAGCTGGGTACCAGCCTCAGTCAGAAGGGTTAGTAGCGAGGATGTTAGTCTACAGGATTAGCGCAGCACTTCAGCGTTAGCAGCGGAGCAGCGGAGAGTATCAGCGCAGCGTGGAGGAGAGATAGTGCAGCGGCAGATTAGCTCAGCGGTGGAAGAGTGCCAGCCTCCGGCCCAGCCCACGGCCCAGCGCCAGCCCTGCAGCGCCGTAGCTGCCTCGTGCAGGTATCAGGGAGAAAGGCCTTGCCTTTCCTCCCTCTTCTGCCTCTTCTGCCTCCTCCACCCTCTCTCTCTCTCTCTCTCTCTCTCTCTCTCTCTCTCTCTCTCTCTCNTCTCTCTCTCTCTCTCTCTCTCTCTCTCTCTCTCTCTCTCTCTCTCTCTCTCTCTCTCTCTCTCTCTCTCTCTCTCTCTCTCTCTCCCTCCTCCTACCCTCTAAGTCTAAGTCTACTTCTGGGCTACTCCTACTGGACTACTACGAGTATGAAGGATGGTTACGAGTTCTGATGATGTGGGGGATAGCAACATTGAGACTGCAGGTTGAGGACTACTTTTGGGATCTGATTTCATCTACCTCTGGAGAGACCTTGACGTTGTGAGATTTATATCTGAGACATTGTGAGACTCTGTGTTCGGGACATTTCGGATTTTCGCTACTTCTGATATTTTGAGATACTATCTTTGGAAACATTGAGCTGATGTCATCTTCCCTCTCCTCCTCCCTTCGTCTCTCCTCCCCTCCATTCATCTGTGTATGAGAATTGACCCTGGCCTTTTCTTCTATGTCCAAGGCCAGGGCTTCACACCACCGATGTATGATTGTGAGTGTTTCGTTGCAGTCTGAGTCAGGTCTGGGTCAATCCATGTATCTCAAGTCTTCTGCTGTATTTGTATTTACTCTGTATTATCTGGTCGGTTCTGGGAATCTGTGCCATACTTATGACTGTGTTTCACGAGTACGCAGCAAAGAGCCTGCAAATAAGGTGGAAAGCACGAGTGAAGAGGAGGTGCTCCCCGGGTATCCAGGGGTGTCAAGCGGCATCAAGAAGGTGTGAAGGGCTGTTTTTGCAGCCCTAAGGCTGCGGTTCTCGTGAGGTCCAGCATCTCTCCGCTAGGTTGGCATTGTGTTTTCTGGGACGGCTGGTGGGGGGTCTGGAGGGGTTGAGATGTTTGTGGGACCAGGCTGTTCCATTGACTGCTTGTTGGAGGACCAGTCCTTTAGTTCTCTTCAACCACCGGTTCATCTGAGCCTATTTGTCTGATCCGACCCCTCGGGCCTGCCCAGCCTGAAACGTCACTCCTACTGGGTCACACCAACTTCGATTGAAGTATGCATTCAATTTGGCTCAAATATTATTTCATGAGCCAAACCATTTTTGTTTATCTTCCAATTTCTTCCCCTAATGTGGAGTAACCTAAGCAAAATCCCTGGTTTCTTTTGGAGTTTTTTTGTTGCCGGATATTACAATTAAAAATCGTCAAAGTCTGGATATTTGTAATTTTGTACAACCCTCCGGTACCCCCTTGAACTCCTGTAGGAGTTGGCGTGGCAATGACTTGGGCTTATTGAACGTACACATACGCGCACACACACATTACCACACACAGACATGCACTGACCTGTGCCTCTCTGCCTCTCTCTCTTTCTCTCTCTCTCTCTCTCTCTCTCTCTCTCTCTCTCTCTCTCTCTCTCTNCTCTCTCTCTCTCTCTCTCTCTCTCTCTCTCTCTCTCTCTCTCTCTCTCTCTCTCTCTCTCTCTCTCTCTCTCTCTCTCTTCTTTAAAAACAAAAAATCTGGGACCCTTAGGGCGGCGTTCCCCGTGCCCCTGCGGTTACCCAATAGAGGGTGTAAAATGTGCTGAGTTGATTGAAGCTGTGCGTAGGGAGTTTAGGGGCACTGGGGAGGGGAAAAAGGGGTGTCTATTGGGCCCTGGGTTGGCTTGAGGAAGTCGACCGAATTGCTGATAAGAAGTTGATTGAACATAGGCAAAGCCAAGATGGGGATTAGGGACTTGCTCTCTTCCAAAGGTTTCCATGAGTGAGGATGGCCTGTCCCTGCAAGGGACTTGCTCTTCCTATGTGATTCAAAACTCGTACAGGATTGTGAGAAACTGTATGTGAGGTTCCTGCAATAACTGGGACAATTGCTGAATGACACAAGATCCTAACCCCTCACGCCTTAACCATTATGTGGAGAAGGAAAACTTAAAAGGACTGAAAAGTTGTGAAAACCCTAAAAATCATGCTGGATGGTGGAGAACTGTAGGAGTTCGCTGCAATGGATGGGACAAATGATGCTGTTGTATGGCTTCTTAGTACATTTTACCCTTGCTCGCTAACCCCTAACCCTGAACTCCCTAAAACCTGAGACCCCTTAGGCTAAATCGCAAAACCTTAAAAACCCAGTACCTCCGAAAGTCATGGTGGTATACAAGCTGCGGCAATCATGAACGAACAGGCCACAACGGGAGCACCCAAATTTGTCCGACTAGAAATGCTTCTACTCTAATATATGGGAAAGGTACTGGTGGTTTGAACCTGAAACCTGTGAAACCAGAGCCTGAAAACTGGAAATCGTAAACACTAACAGTAAGACCCTAAACCTCAAATGGTGGATTGAGAGAAAGCTGTTGTACCTGACTATGACCGCTGTAGTTAACACCTTTGAAATGTTTTTGATTATAAATTGTGAGCCTGAACTTTGCTGGACATGCTAAACCTTCAATGAATATAAATAGTCACACCATTCTGGTCGTCAGGCACCCTGTTCTTCCTTTTTTTGAGAGAGAGATTGGCCCTCAGCGCTCTGTTTGTGTATGCCGCCTGCGGATGCAACTGGGTAGAAATCACTGTTGGTTGTCTTTGATGTAGTCTTTATCTTCTCTCCTGACAGTAAAGACCCCTACCTCCCCATGAGAACTGAGAAAAACCGGGAAAACCAATTTGATAGTCTCTTAGATATATTGCTAACTTTGTTTTTGTGTTGCTTCATTATGCAGGGATGTACAAAGGGGCGCCAAGGAAGGATGTTGTGTCATTTGACATCACGACGTCGACTTGGGACCGTTACACTGCACTCACAGGGCCAGGAAGAGCGTTCCATAACATGGTTGCATTCAATGTAAGGAAAAACACAAAAATCCAAGTATTCCCATAATCTCCAGCGCGTTGAGAAGCAGCACACTTTCTTGAGCAAAATAATAAATTCTGATGCTAGAGATGATGTCCGGGGACTGCCAACTCGGTTGTTTCCCAAAGTTAGGGGTTGGATGTCTGGCAGGCCCTGGGTTGTCTGGATCCGTTCCAAATGCTCCTCAGGACACCGGGGGAAACACCCTTGTCGTGGAGGTTGTCCAATTTTTCTTCTTTCTGATGCTAACAAAATGATTACACAGATTGAGGTGCAGTCAACACTACCTGAATTTGAAACAACAGGTTTCAGGGACAAATCGCCATCCACCGGATGTCTCAGGGCGAAGTCTAAGATCAGGCCCCAGTGATGCTATGTTCATGCTAGGAAAGTGTGAACTTTCCAAGCATGAACATAGCACCAGTCGTACCTGCCCCTAACTGAGAAATTGCAGTTGGCCTGATATATCTGGATTCTGGATAATTGGCAGCCGCGCATATATTTGAGTTGGTGCTCTGGCAAGTGAAAAGTCACTCGTCAGACTTGTGAGAGCACTACCTCAAACATCCGGTGGATTACGTTTCGGGTTTTCAGCTGTAGGTTTTCACAGTTTTTCTTGCTGGTTCTTGTTGAACACTAGTATCATAGTATGATTGTTGTGACAGAAGAGGGGGGGCCTCATTATCTTGGACCCGCCCTCTGTTTTGCTTTTCTCTTGATACTTCTCCCACACTTTTGGAGTTCTTGTATCAGATTCCCCGAACCCATAGTCCCAGAATTCTCCTTTTCTGTTTGGTGCCTTTGGTCTTTTTTTTTTTTTTTTTTTTTGCAGAAGCGGATTTTGTATTAATAACGCGTGAAAGCGGGTCCAGCATCCCTTACATCAGATATACTCACCCAACGCTTCTCCCAGTTATGGTCAAGAGATCCCAAGTCAGTGGCATTGGTTACTGCCCAAGTGGGAGGATTTAACACTTGCTCTTCGGCTTCACTGTATCCGCTATTTTTTAAATGGGCCTGACAGCACTGATTTCATTCCTTTGGCCCTTCGGTTTGGTCTATCTTTGGAAGTTTTCAGCTTCTTTCCCCCTAGTTTAGCTCTGTGCCCATGTGTTTAGCTCTCTGTCCGTGTGGTCCTTCTCTTCCTCCCCCCCGTTCCCTAGCTTAACTCTATGCCCATGTGTCTCCGACTCTCCATTTCGTGTACTATCAGATCAGGCCCTTGTCGTACCATGTACTAAGGAAAACTTAGCATTGACATGCTCTGCAACTTGAATTGGTGTGTGTGTGTGTGTGTGTGTGCGTGTGTGCGTGTTGGGGGGGTTGGGGGAGGGTGCGCCAGGGGGAAGGCCTGAGTCTGCATGAGATGGTACATGGAGGGGCAGATACTTATGCTGTTGTTTTTGAGGGAATCCCTTTCTGAAAGTGATCACTACTTGTGCTTAAGACTCATTGGTAAGTGGTTTTCACTGGGGCATTGCTGTTTGTGTTTTGCATGGCTTGTTTTTTTGTGTGCAGTCCCGATACCTGGTGTCATTTGGAGGGTATGTTCTTCAAGGGACAGAAAGGGGTGTTGACAAAAACGGAGCAAGTGATGCCATGAGAGTGTTTGATTTGTACAAGTTCAAATGGGGAAGGATTTACCCCAGGAGGTAAGCAGAGCTATTGGGTCACAAAACGTTTCCCTTCCTAGGTCCTTGTTTAGTGTATAAGTTGATTAGTGTACAGTCTGGGGTCCAGGCCCGCCCCCCCCCCCCCCCCCCCGCGGCATCGTGTTTATGCCAAGTTGGCATGCATCTGGTCCCATCTGCGCTAAGGGTCAGGCGTTGCTGAGGGAAAGTGTGCTTGCTCGGTGATTCGAAAGTCCAGGATCAGATGCCACTGATGGAAATGTATGATAGCTTTGTTGAGAACCAGTTCACAGATTATACCGTGTTTATGCTAAATGAGCATAATGTGTTTCTTATTGACGTCCAGGCTGATGCAAGTTTATCACAAGCATATCCGTAGTGGGCCCTCATGCACACTGGCTCCTATGCTAGTGAGTGAAAGGTGCTCATCCACCTTGGACATAGCAAGATGGATATGCCCAATGGAGCTGAATGGATGTAAATTCCAAGAAAAAGAGCAGGAAAATTAGATGCAATGGTCCAGACTCCATAGAGAACTTAGAACTTAAAAAAAAAGAACTCCCCCCCTTTCGCCCCATTCTCTCAGCCCATTCTCTTGCCCCTGGAGAGAGAGAGAGAGAGAGAGAGAGAGAGAGAGAGAGAGAGAGAGAGANGAGAGAGAGAGAGAGAGAGAGAGAGAGAGAGAGAGAGAGAGAGAGAGAGAGAGAGAGAGATCAGTTGTTCAACTGGGAAAAAGACAGAACAACATTGCGCGCTGCCTGACTGTTAGCCTGATGGTAAATATCTGGCAATGTTCATCAGAGAGTTAGTGAGCAAACACAAGGAACCCTATAAGTGAACCAGACACAAGAAACCCTATGAGTGAACCAGATACCAATCTTTCACAACCAGATGAGCAGCATAGCAATAAACTCATGGAATTGAATTGCTATCATCCACCACAGCATGTTAGTTGAATGAAAGATGAAGCACACGATGAGTTGAGTACTCGTACAATAGTAAAACCTCTCAGTGTAGAATGATAATTAACCAAGGCCAAGAGGCCAATCACAGTCAAAGCACACACCCAAACTTCATCAAGCCTCTCTGTCTTCTGCAAGGCTCAATGTATTGCCAATGCTCTTCCCCTAAGACTGTTGATGCCCCGCCTGCTCAAGAAGCAGCAAATCATGGAGAGGAGAAGATACCGCACCTCAGGTATACCCAATGCTGGGTGATCATCACCAATGTAAGCCAGTGCCATCAGATACAGAATCTGTAATGTGAATGTGAGGGCAGAGAAAAGGATGCCCTCAAGACTCAAGGACTGCAAATAGGAGAGTGGATGACAGAACCTGAGAGAGTGGTGAGAGAGGAACTTGCACTGACTCGTAGGCACAGTATTCCAGTGTCAAAGTCGTTTTCCCTCGAATGTAAGGCATTTCACTCTGGGTTCTTATTCTGTGTGTGTGTGTGTGTGTGCGCGCGCGTGTCCATGGGATCTGTGCTTCTGTGGGACCAACAGTAATGATGTTCCTGCTAAGCGCATGTCACACGCTGGAGGGATGCTGGATGACAGGAAACTTGTTGTCTCAGGTGGCTGGACTGGTGTTGAGGGAATCGATGACATGTGGACTTTCGATGTAACAGTGAGTTGAATTTTCCCTCCTTGCAACGTTGCCGCTCTATTGTAAATTAAGGTTTAGTCACCCCTATGCCTGGCTCATACATGCTTGGTATTGTTAGCCAGTGGCTCATGGTGATTGTCCAGAACAAGTGAGCAAAAACTTATGCAAAGTGTAATTGCAAATTTGACATGGAGAGGTGCTCTTACCTTCCCATTGTTCCCAATAATAGCATTGACAGCGAAAGACATTGTAACTAGGTGGAAATACACAGGCAGCTCACAGGTTTGGAAATGTGTCAAAGTTGCACGCTAGTAGCCGTGTCAGAGTGCAGTTTGATGTGCAGATGCCGAAGTGCACGACAAGCGCCTGGGCATGCAGGTGGGCAGGAGCATTCTGACTGGGATATTGTTGCTCTGTCAAACATAAACGAGCTATGTCTACTCTTCACCCTTGTAAATAGTAAAAGGTTCATTAGCACAGAGTTCAAGGGCGCAGCTGCTGGTGTACTGCACAGCATTGACTGGTCGTATCGGTCTCCAGTAAACATGTTTGCACAGGATTCTGGTGTGATAGTCGCGCTGTTCACACAATGGATGGCCAGGGGTAAAACTCAGAGATATAAAATAGTAAAATTTAGAGAAGCTTGGATAGCGAAATGACAGAAATCCAGAATGCTCACTGACTTCTGGGTCACGAAATGGGAATGCGCTAACGCCGTCCAGTGAGCGCTAAGGCCCGCACGCGCGTCGCAGGCAATTTTCGCGCGGCCAATTCTTCCACGAGCGCGAAGGCGCGCCCTTTTTTCTTATTTCGGATTCGCGCGGGAAAAAGCAAGGAGGGAGGGAGGGAGTAGACACTTCTGGCCACACCTCCGGGCGTGGCGTTCTCAAGCTCCTCATGAAGCAAACACAAACGGGAGGGAAAAGGTGGAGCAAGAGAGGAGAGGGCAGATACTACGAGAACCGAAAGGAAGAAGAAGGTCTTTACTAAGAACGGGAAAGGACAACAAAGCGGGAAGAGACGAAGGAGAAGAAGCGAGGAGGGACGGGGTCAAAACAAGGAAAGAGACACGCATTCAAGAGAAAAGCAAGGGCAGCAACACAAGCCACAGAAAGGAATAGCTCAACGGCCAAACACCACATCATTATACCGGACAAAGACAGAACAGGACTTTCGAGCTTCGTATGCACGCTGTCCGGGATTCACAACACCGGTGTTCTGTGCCGCACGGAAATCCCCTACGCGCGCTGTCAGTTTTCAAATACGAGGTCACGAGGAGAAAGGGAAGGAGGGAGGAGGGCGAGCTAAACCACGTCACGACAGACCACCCCTCCGGGCGTGGCGCAAGCAAGTCAGACAAAGGAAGCTCTCATAGCCAAAAGAGGAAAAGAAGGGGAGGAATCTGGAAGAGACAAAGAAAGAAGAGAAGGAGACTAAGAACGGGAAAAGACAAAACAGCCAAGCGATGAAGTGAAGAGAAGGGAGGGAGAGACAGTGCGCGAGAGCATCTTTCCAAACAAGGGCAAGGGCCAGGTAAGGACGAGACAAAGAGGCAATTATCACGAGCAGAAGAAAACGGAGGTTCCGCAACACCGGCTGGGACAGAGAGGCAAGCACCTCGCGCTGAGGAAGGAGGTTCCACAACACGGGCATCTGCAACGAGATACGTAAAGGTTAGAAAAGCCCGGCTGGAACCTAAAGGTAAGAAAGTACGGCCGTCATCGGACCCCTTCTCCTAAGGAGACAGGGAAGAAATTAGAAACGGAACAGCGATAGGGACAGAGGACAAAGCTGTCGAGAGAAGGAGAGCGATTCACGGGAGAAGGAGATAACTACTTCAGAGCCTTACCTAACTTAGATCAATTGGAAGATTATCCAATGATTGTAGTTTCCACGAAACAGTGTCCCATTATTTAGTGCACAGGAGCACCTAGTCCAGGGAGAAATGGGTCACTAGAGAACAACAAAGATAGAGAACAAGAACAGCCACCTCGTCTTTTCCCGACTACACTCGCCACTCACCAACCACGACCAACTCCCCCGTGATCCCCCCAACAAGAACGTTGTCTCCCCACCGCGTCCTCAGCCTCCACCTCAAACCAACCCCTCGCTAATGCATCTTCTTCGATTCGTACCTCCACCCCCACCCGTCCTAACCCTCAGCCCCCTACTCTCTATCTTACTGCCAGCCCACGAGGCTATACCCCCACGTCTCCAAGCATGAAGTCCGACCAACAAATCAGACAAGGGAGCAGAGTCAGGAAACGGAATCTGCGAAGAAACATAAGTAGAGGAAAAGCAACGTACGATCTCTAAAGAAAAAAGGTCAAAACGACCTGTTACAATCAATCACGGGACACTTCCCTAAAGATACTACTTGGACTGCTTTACCCATTATAGGCAACTACAAGCAAGACACGTTAATACTGATTGATTACCTAGTAATCAATCAGTTATTTGTATCCCAACTTTAAACCTTCCAACAAGCTACTTCTAGAAAGTCGCCCTTGCGAAGGCATCATTGAGGACGACCCCAAAGTGGGCAGGACTCATTGAGGAAAGAACCACTTACCCCTTGTCGCGCTACTGCACAAAAAGCAATCTAGGAACAAGGGGCAAAGGGAGCCGTAGGATTCAAGCTACCAACCCGTAAGCAATTGCATTCATTTATGTATTAGTAATTTCATTATTATCATTATTATTATCAGTACTATTACCATTATTTATTAGCTCATTAATATTATTGTATTATTATTTTCAATATTACTCTACCATCATTCCAAACCCTTTTTCAGACCACTTTCAGGGACAAATATCCCAATCTTCTGACCAAAGAAGGGAGAAACTCCCGCTGAGAAAGACAACAGTGCATATCGGTCTCAGTACAGGCAAAACCACCGTTCCTCAGGAGGGGAAGGAAAACTGGAAGTGTTAACATCATAAGGAATTGGATTCGCCCTTCCCTTGGACAGTGTCCTGGGACAAACCGCCCTCAAGGACAAACAAACTGCCCTCGTTGATTGGCATTTGATAACCCATAGATTTCGCAGACAAGCTGGGCTCTTTGATAAGACATAATCGAGAGAAGGAGAGAATCAGGCTAAGCGTGTCTTACACCAATCCAACGAGATTTCCATCCTATCGCAAACGCGTTTAGACCAGTCCCTGAATTCAAAGTCCAAGATTAGCATAATGGCAAAGGAAGGTTTGGGGATGGAAACAAAGAATTGGTTGGCCAAAAAAACGAAGGTTGAAATGATTAAAAAAATGGAGATCATTGACAAGGAGGGGGAAAAAAAGGAAGTGGTGATCTGGGAATACCCAAAGGACTATTCACCTTCTCAAGGAAGAGTCAAGAATTGAACAGAGTGGAGAAATTGAAGTGGTTGTGGGAGAAGCTAAAGAGCATGGAGGCGATCCTCGGTACGGACCCCAAAGTCACATTTTACAACAGAGGAAGGAACACCATAATGGTGGTCTGTCGAGATGATAAGCAAGCAGCGTTCCTAAAGAACAAATCCTTCACATGCAACTCCTTCGTGGTGTCAGTATACCCATGGACTCCTGCCAAACAGTCTCAAGCATCTCCTTCCATATACAGGCAGTCGCTGATGCAAAAGTATTTTTGGATCCAGTTTGACGGCGTGCAGGAAGGATTGCATTGAGCCATCAAGGCAAGGTTGCAGGAAGAGCATGGACAGTTCCCGGTGATAGACTGGATTACACCAACACCGGATTTTCTGATCCCACAACATGACACAATGATGACCTGCATCAACACGCAAGGCGTGGTCCCACCACAGCTACCAGATTTTTTGTACATTTGTTGTCCAACCCCCGTGTTATTGAACCCGGACGTCGTTTGCCACTTAGGGCGTTGATCTCCCAAGGATGAAGCATACGCCGGTTGACTAGGGCGGTCTCGATCAAGCCTGGAAACCTCAATTTTAACCCTAGTCCCATACATACAATGCTCGCATACACATGCCCTTAATAAAGCAATACGCATATATCGTCATAAAGTCTTCCTTTTAGTCAATCATCTTTGCAATCACAGCTGCGAAAACTCAGCACAATATTTAATATAAATTATATAATTGATTTGGTCTGATGAAAAAATCATGCTAACGTAATTCCTCCTTGTCATGATCCTCAAGTGTTTTGCTATACACGACAATATTGTCGAGATACACAACTACAAATTGATCAAACCATTGACGAAACAATTCGTTCATAGACCTTTGAAAAGTAGCAGGTGCATTAGTCAATCGGAAAGGCATAACCACGAACTCGTAGTGACCATAGCTGGTTCGGATGTGTTGCTCTTCAGGTACCACCTCGATCTGGTAGTATGCTGATTTTAGATCAATCTTACTAAAGTATTTGCACCCCTGCAACTGATCCAATAAGTCGCCAATGCGAGGAAGAGGTTTTGCATTTTTGAAAGTGACATAATTCAACCCATGATAATCAATACAAAGTCTAAGTTCTCCTTCCTTTCTGGGCACGAACGAGTCAGGAGCACCATAGGAAACTTGGTCGAATTCATCCTTTCTCTGTAAGTTCTTGCAGTTGTTTCTTTAATTCTTCTAGTTCCCTACGAGACATTCGATAAATGGGTCCTTTGCGAATCTTACTTTCGGGAATGATCTCGATAGTGTGCTTGATGGCACGGTCAGTTATCCCCGTAGGTTCAATCTGCAAGCCCTTAAATTCAGTTAGAAGTTTTTCTATAGAAAGAGGGTAGGACGAAAAACACTCGTCGACTCGCTTTACGAGTACCATCATTACCTCATGTGCCAACTTCTTTTTCGTGACCATACTCCGAAAAGCAAGAAGACTCGTACAAAAGAAAGACAGTGATGAGTCAGAACCAGACTTATGAAACAATTTAATTGGTTTCAGGTTGGAATTTTCATCCTTTAGGTTGACAATCTTTTCTTTGAATTTGATTTTTGGGTCAGCCTCCTCGTGCCAATCTATTGCCAAAATCAAGTCAAAGGGTAAGTTCTTCTCTACGA